GGTCGCTCCTGTCTCACTCGCAGGTGCTGCGGCACGCGGCGGGGTGCAGCAACACTCGCCGCACTGCACTGCGAGGTCAATGCTGGTGCTGCACACCAGCGTGGTCGTCTCCCCGCCTGTGCCCACCTAGACGCTGACTGTCCTTCGACACCCACGCGACCATCAATCATCATCTTCCTGCACCTGACCCAGCTTTGTGGCAACGGCGGTGCAGCGGTTCACGCTCACGCTCACGTTCATGTCCGCATACATCTTCCCCTCGGGCTCCAGGTGTCCCTCGTGGCTGGCGGCATCGGCGCCAGGCAATCGATGGGATCGGCCTATCCATCTGGTGCCACTACGTCCTCTTTCACTTCGGTTTGTATGTGGTGTTCAAATTCGGCCCCACGCGTGGCAACCCCTACTTGCGGCAGTGGGCGGCCCACTTCAGGGGCCCCACGGCGGCGCCTCCCACGGCGATTCCCAAAGCGTCGGCCCCCACGGAGGCGGCTACGAAGGAGGCGGGTCCCACGGCAGTTCCCACGGCGGCGGCTCCCACAACAGCGGCTTCCACACGGAACCGACTCCCACAGCGGCACCTCCCACGGCAGCGGTTCCCACGGAGACAGGCCCCACGGCCGCGGTTCCCAAGGCGGCGGCTCCCACAGCGGCCCCCGCGACAGCAGCTCCCAACAGGCAGCTCCCACGGCGGCGGTTCCCACGGAGGCGGTCCCCATTGCGGCGGTTCCTTCGGAGGCGGCCCCCACGGCGGCGCCTCCCAAGGCGGCTCCCACGGAGGCGACCCCCACGGCGGCGGTTCCTACGCAGGCGGTTCCGACGCGCGGCGGTTCCCACACAGGCGGCTCCTGCGCACCCAGGGGCGGTTCCTACGGCGGCGGCTTCCGCGCGGCAGCTCCTACGCAGGCGGTTCCCACTCGTGGTGAATCCTACGCTGGCGAAGCGCAAAGCGACCATGGACGAACTCTACGACGACCGGAAGGCGCTCGACCAAGAGGAGGAACGGCGGCTCCCTCAGACGGTGGTTCCCCCGCGGCGGTTCCCACATTTGGGCGACGGCGCCATGGACCATCACCGCTTCGGATCCTCCAGGCCTGTAGTGCCTGGTACAGGTCGCTCCTGTCTCAGTCGCGGGAGCTGCGGCACGCGGCAGGGTGCAGCAACACTCGCCGCAGTGCACTGCGAGGTCAATGTTGGTGCTGCACACCAGCGTGGTCGTCTCCCCGCCTGTGCCCACCTAGACGCTGATTGTCCTTCGACACCCACGCGACCATCAATCCGCCGACCCCTTGGGATTCATCGGCGTGTGAAATGCTTCCCCCTCCCCGAACCTCTCCCCCGGGACCCCGGTCTGGTCGATTTGAAAGGGGGGGGTCCCCCGGGGGACCCCCCGAACGCGCCATCGAGGACAGGGGGCCAAAAACGGGCCAAGAGGGCCCGAAGAGGGTCCACGGACTGTCCAAGATGGGCAAGAGGCACCGAAAGATCGCGCCAAGACGCCCAAGATGGGCCCCAAACGGCCCCAGAGGCCCCCAAGACGTTCCAAGAAGTCCCCACGGGGCGCTCCAGGAGGCCTTGAAGGAGTTAAAATCGCCCCAGTCCCTTAGGAAAACCTACATGTTTAGAACATCCGCCTCTTGTGCTCTCACGAGGCCCACCCAGGTCGAAGCAGCCTTGAAGACCGACCAAGACGGGCCAAGAGGCCCCCAAGAGGGGTCCAAGACGGCCCCAAGACTGCCCCAGAAGCCTCCAAGACGTCCGGAGAGGCCACGAGGACGGCCCCAAGGGGAGACCCAGAGTGGGAGCCCGAACGGACATTTCGAGCTCCCGTCCCCAAGATGCCCCCAAGAGTCCCCCAGAAGCTTCCGAGAGGTCCCAAGAGAGCGCCAAAGGGCCCCCCAAAAAAACCAGACGCGCCCCCAACAGGTTCAAAAACTGCCTCCACGACGCTTCCGACGCGCCTCCCTCGCAACCCCATCAGCCATCCCAACGGCGTCAAACCCGCAACCCAGGCACGGCGGCAGGGTGTGCCTACTACTCCCCCAAGAGGTCGGCGGCGCAGCGTAAGCCCGAGAAGTATCATCATCGTCATCATCGTCATCATCACCATCATCCTCATCCTCATCCTCATCGTCGTCATCATCATCCTCATCATCCTCCTCCTCCTCCTCCTCCTCCTCCTCCTCATCATCATCATCATCATCATCAGCAGCAGCATCATCATCATCATCATCATCATCATCATCAGCATCATCAGCAGCAGCATCAGCATCATCATCGTCATCATCATCATCATCATCATCATCATCATCATCATCATCATCATCATCGGCATCATCATCATCATCATCAACATCATCATCATCAGCAGCATCATCATCAACATTATCATCACCATCATGCTCGTCATCATCATCAGCATCGTCATCATCATCAAATGCCTCTTCCTCCACCTCCTCCTCAACCTCCTCCTCCTCATCATCATCATCCATCATAATCATCACCAGCATCATCATCACCATCATTATCATCACCATCATCACCATAATCATGCTCATCCTCATCCTCATCCTCATCGTCACCATCATCATCAATCATCACCATCATCGCCAACATAATCGTCATCATCATCACCATCATCATTATCATCATCATCCTCATCATATGCCTCCTCCTCCACCTCCTCCTCATCATCATCACCATCATCAGCATCATCATAACCATCATCAACATCAACATCAACATCATCATCATCATCATCATCATCATCATCAGCATCATCATCATCATCATCATCATCATCATCATCATCATCATCATCATCATCATCATCATCATCATCATCCATCATCACCAGCATCATCATCATAACCATCGTCATCATTATCATCATCATCGTCCTCATCATCCTCATCGTCGTCTTCATCATCCTCATCAGCAGTAACAGCATCGTCATCATCAACAGTGCCATCATCATTACTGTCATCATCATTAGCATCATCAGAATCATCATCAGCATCATCAGCATCATCAATATCGTCGTCTGCACAATTAGCAACAGCATCATTTCCATCATCATCGTCATCATCCGCTGCATGATCGCTGCCGTCGGCTTCGTCATCATCGTCATCAATGTCATCATCATCGTCATCATCATCAGCATCATCACCATCATCATCATCATCATCATCATCATCAGCATAAGCATCAGCATCATCATCATCATCATCATCATCATCATCATCATCATCATGATCATGATCATCATCATCATCATCATCATCATCATCATCATCATCATCATCATCATCATCATCATCATCATCATCATCATCTTCATCTTCATCGTCATCGTCATCGTCATCTTCATCTTTATCATCAGCAGCATTTTCAGCAACATCCCCTGAGCGCTTCAGAAACAATCCACAACGGCTGGACAGACACCACAAAGTCCGATAGCTTAGCCAGAGGTTGACCCACCATGTGGCAAGAAAAGGCGTTTCCAGCAAGTTGGGGGCCGCCGCGGTGGTACACCGCAGGCGCCCTCGATACGCCGCCCCCGTCGCTTACGCGGGGATGCTGGCATGCCGAATGTAACCACTGGGACGCCAGTACGGGCAAAATGGGTACGATGCCCAACAACATATGTAGAGCAACACCGACAGCGGCCGCTGTGCGGTAGCCGACCGTCTCTCAAATGAGCGACGTCCGCGGCGACACCGCACAGCGAGTCCCGTTCAAAGTGAGGAGGAACTGCTGCGGGTCTTCGTACCCATGATTTCTGCACCCATTTCGATCGAGCCGCTCTTAGGCTCTTCCAAAAGATTCCCTTCCCCTACCCTAGGAGCAGTCAGCTACGAACCCCCCCCCTCCTCTCCCTGTGAAAAACCACGACGGGCGGTTTTTGGCCATTGGCGGCCTCCAAGGCCCTCACTCAGGCCCTGGACCGTTATGAATACTACCTGAAATGAAAAGCCGGTCCTGATGAGAGGGTCCAGATCTCAAGGGATCCACGCAGCGAAAAAAAAAATGTTGGCCATTGGCGGCCTCCAGGGCCCTCACTGAGGCCCTGGACCGTTATAAATACTACCCGGGATGAAAAGCCGGTCCTGGGGAGAGGGTCCAGATCTCAAGGGATCCACGCAGCGGGGGAAAAAAAAAAAAAAAAAAAAAAAAAAAAAAAAAAAAAAAAAAAAAAAAAAAAAACGACGATGGGGATCTTGAGGCCCCAGCAAGATCGGCCAACATCGAACAGGGAAGTCGGACTGGATCGGCCCCCCGGCATCGACGCGGGCTGCGCCAGCGTGGAGCCGGGCTCAGGCCACGCGAGGACACGCGTCTGCGTCGTGAAGTTTCGGGCCGCAGCGGCTCGCCGGCGCGAATGGCGACGTCACCAGCAAGCCCCTCTCCCTGGGAAACAGCCGCTGGCCGCGAGGGGCTCGAAAACAAGCTCGAGAGGCCTGCCTCCCCGAGCCCGGGGTGATGACGACGACGATGACGATGTCGATGACGATGCCAATGATGATGATGATGATGATGATGATGATGACGATGATGATGATGATGATGATGATGATGATGATGATGATGATGATGATGATGATGGTGATGGTGATGGTGATGGTGATGATGATGATGATGATGATGATGATGATGATGATGATGATAATGATGATGATGGTGGTGGTGGTGATGGTGATGATGATGATGATAATGGTGGTGATGATGATGACGATGATGATGATGCTGATGATGATGATGATGATGATGCTGATGATGATGATGATGATGATGATGTGATGATGATGATGATGATGATGATGATGATGATGATGATGATGATGATGATGATGATGATGATGATGATGATGATGATGATGATGATGGTGGTGGTGGTGGTGGCGGTGGTGGTGGTGATGATGATGATGATGATGATGATGATGATGCTGATGATGATGAGGATGAGGATGACGGTGCCCCTCCTCGCGGGGGGGGGCGCGCGCCGAGGCGGGTCGACGTGCGCCACGATGGAGCTCCCGGCGCGGTAGTCGTTCATCACCTGGGCGACGCGGGTAACGGTGCACGGCTGGGAGCAGAGGGCAGAAGGAGAGCGAGGCGGCTGGGGGCTCCGAGCTGGATAGGCCCAGAGAAGATCGGTCAAGCGTCAGGTCGGATTTCTGTCCCCCTGCAGGGGGACTTTGGATGAGAAATTGAAAGAACTGGAGAAATAATCAAAAAATGCCGGGAAAAAACAAAAAAAATGCTGAAATGGATAGGTCCAAAGAAAAATCGGGCAAGCGGGGTCTGCGCAGACCTACCATCCCTGTCCAAACACAATTGAAGGGGCCCCGGGACACGCAAAACAAATAGACACAGGCAACCGGATTCCCACATTTCCCCATATCTTTGGGGGGTCTCGTGTTTTTTCCCCCACTTCCCATCTTTTCCAACATTTTCTTGGGAACCGACGATGAGTTGTGTCTGTGTGTGTTTCCCCTCCTGGAACAAGGATGGCGGCGGTGCCCTTCAAAGGCCCGCTCTGCGCAGACCCACCACCCCTGTCAGCACACAATGCAGATACCCTGCGTGGCAAAAGATGCTCCTCCTCCTTCTCCTCCGCCCCTCCTCCTCCTCCTCCTCCTCCTCCTCCTCCTCCTCCTCCTCCTCCTCCTCCTCCTCCTCCTCCTCCTCCTCATCCTCCCCTCCTCCTCCTGTCAGCACACAGTGCAGACACCCTGCGTACAAACGATACACACGCGCGGGCGCCCCGTGACAACTTTGCATCGTTTTTATGACTACCTACCAGACCACCCCAGCCCAACCCGAAGACCCGAATTTCTGTCCCCCTGCAGGGGGACTTTGGACGAGAAATTGAAAGAACTGAAGAAATAATCAAAAAATGCCGGAAAAAAAACAGAAAAAATGCTGAAATGGATGGGCCCCGGGGCTGCTTTTTCCAGACTGACTACCTACCAGACCACCCCAACCCAACCCGAAGACCCGAACTTCGGGTTGGGGGGGGCATGGGTTCCATGTGTGTTTTTTCGATGTTCCCGGACCCCCCCCCCCACTAGAGATCGAGGGTAAATCTGAGCCCTCGGGTTGGGCTGGGGTGGTTTGGTGGGTGGTGATTTCATGACAAGGGGCGGCGGGAGGTGCCCTCACATTGACTGCTCCATGAAGTGTCACGATCCCTGATAAAAAAACATGCAAAACGCCCTTTGCGGCAAAATCTTGATCATGCGCGGGCGCCCAACGATCACTTTGCATTGGTCTTTGACAGGGACGGCCGGGGTGCCCTCATGTTGTCTGCCCTGTGCAGGCCCAGCATCCCTGACAACAAAAACACTAGAAAGCACACTTCGCTTTGCGGCGAAATCTGGATAATGCGAGGGCATGACGGCACTCATGAACTCAGTGGGGTCGGGGCCCCAGGCCATCCTTCCAGAACCTGATGGGGGAACAAGCCAAAACGTAAACAGAAAAACTCTGAGGTCTGCGTGCACCTCCGAATGGTTATGTGCATGTCATTGTCGTTTTCCCGACCTAAGAGAAACATATGTTTGTGAGCGCTTTTTTTACTCGGCGTTTCGACTTTGGGCGGAAAGGCCGGGGGTCTAGCTCTGGACCTCTGCTTAATGCGACTGTTTGCAACTGTGCGTCCTATGGGAGGAGGCTCCACCTGCTCGAAACAGGCGCCAGAAACCAGCCAAGATCTACTCTATGGGGGGGGGATGCCCGCGCCGATCGGCAAAACGATGAACAGAGAAACGATCACTGGGTGTATGTCAGTGTGCGTTTCCCTACCTGAGGGAGACATATGCTTTTCGGCTGCACTCTCGCCTTCTCGCTTCCGATGCTTCCGAAATTTCAGGATGATATTCCGCGACGGCCCGGGAGAGCCCCAGGAGAGGAGCCCGAGACGGCGCCAGGCCGGCGGGGCCCCGAGAAGAGGCGCTGCTGTTTCGGGACCCGGAGGGGGGCGACCTCTGTCAGGGCCGCCCCGTTCGCTCAGATCCAAGTCACGGAGTGGATGAGATATCGCCGATTTGGCGTCGGCTTGCGCCGATTAGCGTCAATTCAGCGTCGACGAGCGTCGAGGTAGCGTCGACCAGCAAGAGCCGACGAGATGGTATGGGAGGCTCCCATGAGTTGCCCTCCCTTTTCTGGGCGGGCCCAGGCATTCGGCGTCACAAATCCGCCGATCCCCCGCTTGCCAGGCGTGACCAAGGCGCGTGAAACATTTGGCTGTCCCCCTCCCGCTTCCCCCCCCCCGTCGTGCCCAAAATCTCGTCTCGGCGGAGGGCACCAGGCTCCCTGGCGCACCCACGGAGCCTCTGGGTGCGTCCAAAATCAAGCCTCCGTCGCCTCCGAGATGCCCACGACGCTTTCCTAGACGCCTCGAAAAAGACACCCACACGCCCAGATGGCCTCAAAAGCATTCGAGGTGGCATCAAAACGACCCAAAGGACAGCTGAGACGCCCCAAGGCGGGCTCAAGAAAAGCCCCAGCAGGCCTCAAGAGGCAAAAACCAATGACTTCACTGCGATGTTTGGACGGCGTGCGCGATCTCGCTCCTTCGGGCTTCAAAAGGACCCAGAGACGGCCCAAGAGAGCCTCAGGACGGCCCAGCGGGCCCCCAAGACTGCCGAACACGCCCTCAAGATAGCTCCAAGATGGCACAAAAAAGGCCCACGAGGGGAGACTCGCAGAGACTCTGGAAACCCCTCCCCCCCGATGGCTCCCAAGACCCTGAACATGTCCTCTAGAGACCCCAAAACCCAATGTCCCCTCAAATCCCCCGTACCCGTGAAAGGCTCCAAAAAGCCGCCCCCAGGCCTCCAAGAGGCCCCAAAAAAGCCCCTGCCACAGACGCGGAGGAAGAGAAGAACCCATCAGCAACGGCTACACGCGGGCAACACGACGGCAGGCGGCAAACAACGCATATGGAATCTGGAGCCGCAACCATCCTCTTCTTGGGGCCGGCGGAATGACGCGAGCCCCTTGAATCATCGAGGGACAACTAGCTGTCTCAGATGTTGGCAAATCATGGGCATCCTTGCCGGCTTTTGTGCCAACATGGCTCCAAGATGCTCAAAGAGCCCAACATGACCTCAAGATGGCCCAATATCATAAGATGGTTAAGATGGCTCAAGATGGCCTCCACGAGGCCTCCCAGAGGCCCACCCCCCAAGGACGGCTCCGCGTGGCCACGGCGCGCCCACACCTACCCCCCCTGCCTGCCCGCAGCGGTCTCCTGACAACCGCGCTACCCCTGGAGATGCGAGAAGCGGGGAGGCGGGGGACAACTGGACGGGGGGGGCAAATCGAGCGACAAGGCAAATGGTCAGGAAGAGGAGGACGGGAGGAGCGACACGGGGCAGACGGACGCAAAGGGAAAAGGGGCGGCAGGGCGGGCGGCGATATTGGGAAGCGGGGGGGGGGGGGCTAATGGGGGCAAGCGCTGCGCGGCACCACCGCCACGGCGATGGATGCAGGCAGGCAGACAAGGATCAAAGGTGAGGGGAGAAGCAGGACTGCGACGACCATGATAGTGTCTTTCTCGAAAGCGGTGTTGCAAAGTGGTCATTGTGTGACAGGCCGTCCAATCAACTCACAGGGACGGCTTCCGCCTCAGATGAGAAGAGGAACGGTTCGGCTGTTCAGGCCTTGCATGCAACCTTCGCCATCATCTTAACAGGGACGGCGCCCGTCCAATCATCTAAGAAGAACGATTCGCGCGTCGAATGCCTCCCCCCACCCTGGGGGTCGACGCCCGAGGGGCCCACGCCATGCGAGAACGTGTGCAGCGGCGGAGGGAGGGGAGGACAAGGAGGAGGAGGAGGAGGAGAAGGAGGAGGAGGAGGAGAAGGAGGAGGAGGAGGAGGGGGAGAAGGAGGAGGAGGAGGAGGAGAAGGAGGAGGGAGGAGGAGGAGACACGCAAATAAATAGACACAAATAACCGGATTCCCTACATTTTCCCATGTTTTCTGGGTTTTTGTCTTCCCCCCCACGTCCCATGTTTTCCCACATGTCCTGGGGAATCCACGATCTATTGTGTCCGTATGTTTTTGTCCCCATCCAAAGCTATAGCAGGCGACCTCCCCGTTCTCAACCGAGACCCAGATCCGAGACTCTGGGCCTCGCGTCGCTCCAAAACCTGCCCTCGAGGAGGGGCAGAGCTGCCCGCCAGCGATGCCGACGCTCGGCGAGGCCAAGGCCTCCGTGGGGCCCAAAAGGACGGCCCCTTTCGGCTCCTGCTAGTGTACAATGGGAACTTCAGCTGGCAAATCCCACCAGCCCTTCAGGGCGTGGATTGTTTAGCGGGCTTCCTCTTCCAGCTCCCTCTTTCCCCTTCGGGGAGGGGTCTGCCCCTCCCCCTGCCCGGCTCCATTAGGGGAAGTCCCTCCCCCTGGATTTGGACCGGGGTTTTCGCAGGTCGTTGGAGCGTCCAAGATCGCCTCGGCGAGGAGGGGAAACTCATTGAATGTATGAGGATGCCACCAGACTGCCCCAAGAGACACCTAGGAGGCAACAAGATGCCCCCAAGATGCCCCCAAGAGGCTCCCAAAAGACCCCCAAGAGGCCCCAAGAGGCCCCCTAGAGACACCAAGGACGCCCCAAGAGGCCGCGGGGACTGCCAAGAGACCCCCAGGACGCCCCAAAAAGACTCCAAGAAGTTCTCGATCGACATCCGTAAAGACTTCGAGGGGCATCCAAGAGGCCTCTGGCATTTCTCGTTGCCCTCTTCCTCCTTCTCCTCCTCCTCCTCCTCCTCCTTCCTTTCGTCCTCCTCCTCCTCGTCCTCCTCCTCTTCCTCCTCCTGCTCCTCCCCCTCCTCCTCCTCATCATCCTCATCCTCTTCCTCCTCCTCCTCTTCCTCCCCCCTCCTCCTCTTGCCCCACTCTCCTCCGACTGTTTCTCCATCCTCCCCCTATTGGGGTACCACGTCTTACCCAGCCCTTTCTCATACTGCATGCTTCTCCACAGCCCTGGTCAGGGC